AAGCAGAATTTAACTTCCTAAAATACATAAATGAAAATTCAGTTCTTAACAGATAATCTCTGTTCCAGAAGAAGGGCCTTATGTCTTTGACTTCATTTATTCCTTGCACTGCCTTTTCTGACTGTAAAATTAATATAATAGAATCAATGCCTACCTTACCCTAAATGCTTTCTAATGATAATATTCCAAGAATCTTTGTGCATTTTTTTAAGAATTGGGTCAGAGTAGTTGGCATGATTTCCACAGTAGCTGAAATAGTCTGTCCTGATAAAATAAACTATAACCAATGCAAAATAAATCCATCACATCTAAGAACAAAAGTTTAAACTGACCTGCTTTGATTTGGGACACATAGGTCTCCAGGATACACAATAACTAATGTATACAAGGTCTAAGAACACACTCTGCCTGTCATATCCTGTCTTACAGAGCCTTTCCCCTCCCAGGGATTTTGTACTGAACTACCGTAAAAAAGGGTTCACTGTGGGCTTTCTCTGCCACTGTTCATTGTGAGGGCTGTCCAGGTGAGGTGTCTCAGCTGGCATCTCTGCCAGGTTTTCTCAGCCCAAAGAATAATCCAAGTTACAAATTAGGGTTCTGCATTTGAGTGGATCATCTGATCCCCCCCTTTCTCTAATATCTACAGGCTGCCATGTGTGTGCCTCTGGCCTGAGGCAGAAGCTGTTAATAACTTGCTCTCTTCTTGGAGATGTAAAGAAAGATTTATTACCTTGCTTTTGCTTGAAGTGAGACTGCCCAAAGGCAGTTACTACAGGGCAGTTTTTCTGTGATAGCTTCAGTGATTTATAGCTTCTATGCATTTGTTCTGGTGGTGGGATTGTGCTTCCAAGTGAAAATACAGGACAGGGCATTTGGGAACTGAGGAAATTGAGATGGGTAGGTAGGTCACTGAGCAGGTCGGTGTTTGGAGAAATTGCTTTGCACCAGAACAATAGACTCTTGTGTCAGGAGAAGAAGAATCTTTATTTCTTCATGTCTTGCTTGGCCCTATCATGTTTAAAGATGGCTTTGAAAGATAAGATGTCCCTAGAAGATCAATTATTTTGGATCCCATTTCTTTCCCTCCCAATAGTTTCCAAGGCAGGAGAGGCTGAAGGTAGATAGAGAATAATTAGGAGTACAATTTTTATTTTTACAAAGCCTTGTAAATTCTTCATTTTGGGGTAGAATTTGTTTTGTTCTCTCCTTTACCATTGCTAACTTCTCTGCAAAAGTACAAACAATAAAAACAGAACTGCAGTAAAAATATTAAATTGCTAAGCTCTCAGTAATAAGGAAGATCAATCAATATGAAGATTTTTCTATGCATCCTCAATTACAAGCTCTTGTGCATATTCATGATGATGCTATTACTTCTTATGTAGCTATAAGCAATATTTTGTACACAGGTCTTCTCCTTTTTTCCTTTTAGCAACCTTGAAGAGAATAGCAGGGAGTCTTTTAAGGACTTGAAAGGAAGTCCACAGAGGGTTTATTTCACCATGTAAGGAAACTGTGCAGTTGCTAACACTGAAGTAGTGCTTATCTAGGATAAGATATCTAGGATTCTGAACCTTTCCAACCCAAAGATTCCCAGTACTGCCTGAAGCAAATCATCAATAATTTCCCTAAAGGTTGCTTATGATGTTACAACTTCTTTTCCTTTTGGGAGCACAGGAAAAATTAGCAATGAATGCTTACAAGTTGCTCAAGAGAGTTCACCACCTCTGTACATAGCCTGGATGATGCACAGTGGGCAAGACGTGCAAGCACAATGAATAGCCAAAAAAGGAAAAAAAAGACTAATCTTTCATCTCATGTCATGTTTGCTATCGCTGAACACTGAATAAGGGAGACTTAAGGGATAAACAGTATCCAGCATGTCAAAAAATATTTTTGTGGAAATGCACAAACAAAAGCTGCTGAATCAGCACTGACTTTTCATATCTTTGGTATCTCTGGAGTTGCAGTAAAGCTCTTTGAATGTAGAAGTTTCTGTGATATATTCTGTGCCAGATGCGCCTATCGGGGAAAAAAAAAAAAAAAAGAAACAGCTCAGCTTTATATATGTCATGCAAAGTGCCTGAAGCTGGCTGCAGATCAGCAGTGCAAACACCTGTCTTAAAATGGGCACTTTCTGACTGTTAAAAGGTGGCAAAACTTCTGGCACCTTCATTAACAATTTCCATGCTCCTTCTTCCTTTAAAAAGAGCCTCCACCACCAAAAGTGCAAGGAGACCGATGAGCATGCTAGAGAGAGAATAACTTTCGGGTTGTCACTGACAATGCACTTATTTTTTAATTCACAGCATATTCTCACTGCAATTTAAAACTTAACAGAAGCAGAAAGATAAATATGAAACAGCCACAGCTGACTTTGCAATTTCTGCCCAGGCAAACTAGAGTCTGTCAATTTTTTACCTTAAACTTTTTTTTTTTTTTTTTTTTTAAGTTACATGCATGCAGCAAGAAAAATCATTTGTGTAAGTTCAATTCCCCATTCTGATTCTCTCTTCATTTGATGCAACATAATCAGCAGCTCCATTTCTTGCAACGACTCGTGATTCAGCCAAAGTAACATTTGATTTTCAGTGTACTGAAACATCCTATATCTAAAAGCAATCTAAATATTTCATTTAGATTTCAGTAACCTTTTATGTATGAAAGTTTTAGCATATCTTAGTAAGTAAAAGCTTAACAAGACACTTAACTACTGTAGCATTTGAGAAACTTGTTATACAAACGTGTTTGTGGTACACACATGCTGTATTCACATTCCATCTTTTGCTGTAGTACTGAACGTTTTTTTGATAGTTATTATGAACATTATAGATATATGAACATTCTTGATAGGTATTTAAATAAATGACATTTTGGATGAGTGATATAAGCCAGATCCTAGCTGGTATATCTGAATCCATTTCTTTACTTTTGACACCCATCTAGTGGACACAATACAGTATCACAGGATAAAGTTCCTACCAAAGTAGCTATGTGCAAGTCTTGCACATGCTGTTACCTGGTGGTGCAAGCCACAGAGCCTCTCAACATCTCTCAAAATCTCTGTGATTTTATCTAATAGACTTCTAAATTTTATTATGGTCAGTATTTTATGACCTGACAGTGAAGTCATTCATAGAAGCCTGTCTTGGCGTTTGACTAAGAGAAATAAGATTGCTAATAGAATATTCATATGTGCACAAACCCAAGTGAGGAGAACAGAAACTCTATGTTCCTTTACTCCAATAAAAACCAACCTTTTATTCAGTTGAATAATTAAATACACTGTTAAGAAAATCAATTTGATAGACACTTCTTATTTAATATTTTTCTGCTGAGACAGATTTGCATTTAACTTCATTTATTTCCATCCCACTTTTACCATTTGCTTTAGAGCTTTTCAGTTTATATATGTATTTAAAATGACATTGCCATTAGCCTTGCCATTGCAAGTTAATCTTACCATGCACAGGAGAAAAGGAGACTTTACTGCTGCTGACACTGCAGCCTCAGTTAGGTGGCAGAAGGAAGCAAGAAGCAAGCTAGTATAGAGTAGCTGTGACACTGCTGTACCAGGCTGAAGTCTAACCAATGGCTGACATGTACTATCATTAGACATCGATGAAAATGGTGTATGTCCTTCATATGAACACTGTTTTCAAAAGATCTATTTTAGTTGCATTTTTTATAAATGCATACTAACACTTCTTGATACTTAAAAAGTCATGTGATAGATCCTCTGTTCATCCCCCATTCCTATGTGCTCTAGCAGTATTATTTAAGTTCTTGTTAGTACGGTTAGTAGTTATAAACCAAGGTCTTACACACACCTTTTCTCCTATGATGTAAAACTAAAATTGATCATCAGTTTTAGAGACTCAAACAGCCAGGAAAAAACGAAAGTTCTCTTCCACTTCTGGCTGTGTAGAACACCCTACCAGATGCAGACATAAACTTGCTAATCCACGCATTTGTGACCTCTAGATGGCATACCACAACATCTGCAATCTAGAAGCTGAACCACGTGCTCCAAAAGGACTTCATACAGTACCAGACACGGAGATCAGGCTGCTAAGCAACACAGGTTGCCATGAGCACATCATCCAGACTACTCACCCTGCACTGGTTTCTAATTGATTGCAGAGTCCCACTCAAGGTCTCTGTACTATTTTCAAAGCCCTTTTCAGAAGTGTCATGGACTATGTGAAAGAGCATCTTTCTCTCTCTCTTTCATTTCCCCTGATACCTATCTCCCTTCAGCCCCTCATGACAGCAGTACTCCCTAGGAATGGTAAAATTGTTTACCACTTGTGCTACCAAACACCACAACTAGAAGTGCTGGATCAAAACTGTAAAGTTCAAAGACATAAGACAAAACTGGCCAAAAATGTCCACTATGTTTGGCAGTGGGTGTAGAGGTCATTTTTTTTTTCAATCCAGTTGGAAAATAGGAGCTCCCATTAATGTATACAAACATGCCAAAGAACGTGCATACAAAATAATCCCACTCCAGTGCTTGGTTTATTGATAAAAGCCAAAATACCTTCTTGAAGTGTTCGAGTACTCTAGATGGGTACTCTATAACAGATGAGCACTGTGCTGCATTCCAGTGGGAGTCAGGGTAATGAGGGTCCGGCTCAGGAGAAATGTTGCATGAGGAATAAAATAATGCATCATCATGTTTCTTTGGGTGTAGAGCTTATGAGTTCTCAGCATGCAAAGAAGCATATAGCTTTCTATATTCCTAATAGCGGTTTGCATTTTTTTTTCTTCTACCAAATTTATATTCCTTCAGACTTATTCTTTTTGGTTATAAGAAATTGTAAAGTTTATTTCTTGTGTGCCTTGATTTTTCCTTAGCAGGGGAACTGGGCAGGTCATGATTTCCCCATAATTATAAAGAAGCAAATGCCTAGTGATGACTGCCATGAACTGAGTATTCATTATTTTCAAAACTCCTGTGTCAATGGCATAAATCTTTTTGTCCTTTCTTTTTGCAGTTTCGATGTAGACAATGGTACATCGTCGGGACGAAGTCCCTTGGATCCCATGACAAGTCCTGGATCAGGGCTAATTCTTCAGGCAAATTTTGTCCACAGTCAACGGAGGGAGTCTTTCCTTTACCGGTCAGACAGCGACTATGACCTTTCTCCAAAGTCCATGTCTAGGAACTCCTCCATTGCTAGTGATATGTAAGTGCATTATAAAATACTTTTAACATATGTTTTGTGCTATTATGGGGTTAATGACTTTCCAACCACAAGAAATGCCTATAAAAATCAAAGAGAATAATTACCCATGTTAAGAAATGGGTAATTGTTTATTTCTTTATTTATGCTTGTATTTGTTTCTGTGGTTTTGTGAAAATAAGGATATCATGGGTTTCATGTTTTTATACACTGTATTAACTTTGATAGAATATTAGAAAAAATCAGTACTGATGTATCAAAACACTAAAGAGAACTCAGATTTCTTGGTTGTTATGATCTTTTCAATGCAAGCAATACAATCTCAATTTCTGCCTCTTAATATTCGTAAGAAAAAGATTCAATTTATTTGTAATAGGTGCTTTTTGGTGTTTAAAGAAAAGATTTGGCAGATGGCTTGGGTTGGAAGAGACTTTAAAGATCACCCAGTTACAACTCCCCTGCTATTGGCAGGGACACCTCCCACCAGACCAGGTTGCCCAAAGCCCCATCCACCCTGGCCTTGAGCACCTTCAGGGATGGGGCATCCACAGCTTCTCTGGGCAGCCCGTGCCAGTGCCTCACCACCTCTGAGTAAAGAGGTTCTTCCTTATATCTAATGTAAACCTACCCTCTTTTAGTTTAAAACCTATCCCCACTGTACTCCCTGAAAAAGAGTTCTTCTGAATATTTCCTGTATAATTTGAGATTCCTATTCTCACGTATCACTTTTAGAAGTGTTAATTAGTCTATCTAATTATAACTTACTTCTCATGTAAGTGTCAAGGTGAGTAAAACTCATGCCTTTACAGATACTTTAAGGTCCATACATCAGTTAATCCCAGAAAAACACCAGTCCCTCTTGCCTTTTTGTAAAGAAAAAGCGTTTCCTTTGTAAATTGAGACCTTCATCCAGTAAATCTTCTGACATAGAACCTTTCTTCTAAATGTACAAAAGTCAAGCTCTTAGTGTGGCACCCTTGTAGGGAAACATTTAGAACCATTTTTATGATCAAGGGCCAATCCAGGTCGGTGCATTGCTTATATGCGTCATTTCAATTAAGAATTCAATTAGTGCTCCATCCTTGAACCTGTAATCCACTTCTGTATTTCCTAGAATTCTGGGTAATATTTCAGTACATAGCAATAAATTGTATAAAAAAAAATAATTATGGAAACAATGAGCACACTTTCTTCCTTGGATATTTCTATGTATTCTTTCTGTCAAAAATTTCTCATAACAAATCTGCATATAAAGTTTAGTCAACCGCACATCTGGATAGATTTTAATACATGTAGTCTCCTGTCATAGAATTGTTTTGTTAAGGTCAATGCTCCTGAAACGTTTTAGGATTGGACTGTATTAGGAAATGTAAAATGCTAGTGGTTTTGACCATATAATGTTAATCTAGTATCAGTAAGCCTCATTATAATGAATTTGATTATATCACAGAAATGAACTAAAGGGAAACCAAGGAATTAAAGGGAAAACAAACAAACAAAAAAAAAAAAAAAAGGAGAAAATAGTGAAGAATATATACAAAAAAAAATAAATCTCTTTATATATGGGTTCAAGGAGATACAGGATGTGCATGGAAAGGAAGCTCAGTGAGGGTTCTTAAAATAAAGAAATCACTTTAGGTCAGGAGTTTCCTAAACAAGGTAGACGCTGAAAGATTTGTCAGCGTCTGTCCACAAGAATATTTAGACCACTCACAAATTGTTCTATTTCTGTTTTGCATCTATATGCATATTTAATTCTAAGTATTGTATGTTTCTTATGCATGAGCAACATATATTACAAAACATACACAAAATTAAGGCACATAAGAGTTTAACCTTGAATCCTCTGATTTTTTTAGTGCTTGAGTTACCAACCTCAATATTTCACTTTATAAAGCAAACTAGCAAATGAAATGCATGCATCTTATATGTGGAATGAATATAACAAATATTTCTGGTGTTTCTAGTACTCAGAGGTAGTGTGCTCATAGTAGTACATTCCACTTCAGATGAAACAAAACCAAAACTTCAAGGTTTGTCAAATATGGAGTGTAATGGTTAATGACAGCCAGTGGATGGCAGTGCTAAAGCACTGAATTCTTTATTCTACCATTATTGTTTGCATTGCTGCAGCAGCTCTGAGCTGCAGCCAAGGGACGGAACCCAGCTGTGCACAGCTCTTTGAAACCTCAAGGCAAAATGCTGTCCTCTGCCACAAATGACCTAAAAGCAAAGCAAAAGATGATAACCAGGAGACTAATACAGTCAGATAGTATCCTCAGGAAAAGGAACAGAGTGAATCTCTGTGCCCAAGGTAGAAAACCTCACATAGCAACCAGAGAGAGTTCATTCAATGAGTTGAGATGGAATGTAACAGAAACAGGACCCGAAAAGAGAAAAGTGGAGAGTTTTTAAAATCAGATAGACTACAACAGACTACAACATACTGTAAAGTATGAAGAGCTTCCTCAGATTAGAGGAGGAAAAGAACAAAAGGTAGGATGAGTGCAAGGCAACTCAGATAGAAGGTTAATGGGCCAAAACAGTGGGTGCATTTAAAGCTTTTCAAGAGGCTGAAAAAGCAGCAGTATAGAAGGAAATGGAAAAACAAATCAAAAGGAGTAGGAGTCTGTAATATTTTTTCAATTAACCCTTGGAACAAATATCTTAAACCTAGAGAAAGAAATCTTAGAACATGAAGATGACATGAGAAGATTAGTAAAAGCCATTCAAGGCTGTAAAATGTAAAGTCAATGTGGTTTAGACAGGGAGCTACCAGGTCTAAGGCAGAAGAGCACAGATGCATTTTGAAGCCTGACTGGGATTTCTAGCAGGGAGACAAGGATATGCAATATCAAGAAAAGTGACCATATGAGTGAGTCAATATAAGGAATTACAGGGTAATATCCACGACGAGAGACTGGAAAACAAGTTTAAAGAATGGAAAATAAAATTTGAAAGCTCCTAACTGCAAGGCTACAGCACAGAGAAAAAAGAGAACAGCAGCAGCAAGCTGAAAGATGAGAGCAATCATTAATGTTGTATTGGAATGATTGTCTCATGACATCTGAAGACATTATTGAAACAGGGAGCTATGAATGTGGATGTCTTGCAATGGCACCCTGATTACTTGATACTCACCTGATAAACTGCTTTTGCTACTCAGAACTTGCAAATATAAACAGAGGAGGCAATGGTTAACCCTTTTTATGCTTCTCTTGGTAAGGGATCACTGCCTTGATTAACACTGCATGTGATCTAATTTATAAAGAATCTCCATTTTAGCAAAACCCAGGTCTCTAATGTGATGAAAATAAATAAATAAATTGATTATCCAGTGAAATCATTAGCATTGCTGTAAACTTGAGAAAGAAAGCAACAAGCAGCCCACTGACTAGAGCAGAGCTCATGTTTTAACCACACTTCAAAGGGAAAAAAGCAGTGTTCATAGTTCCCTATGGTACTGAAGAAGCAGACCAGAGTGTAGCAGATGAGACCAGAGTACCAAGACACTCTTAGTTTGGAAGAGTGCTTGAGTTCCCTAATGTTTTCTGAATGCATTTAGGAGAAAAGGTATTTTCCAATAAGCACTCATGTCTGCCTTATACTATTTCCACAAGGCCACTGAATGCAGTCCAACATCCTAGCCTCTCAAGGACTTGGCCAGTTGAACCTCACTTAGTGAAAAATAGCTGTTGTGGGGAGTTTTGGAGGATCCTGTGGGGAGGCTCAGCACTGTTTCCTTCAGGTAAAATATCAATGTAAACTCTAACTTGCATAATTACACAAAACTTGCAAATTTCTGTTCATCCTTGCTTTCAACTTCAAAACACCCAAACACGGTCACAAAACATAATCTGTAGAGAATGGCAGGTCATTGACCTGGTGATCTGCTAAATGGCCAAATGGCCAACATTCCATCCATTTCCCAAGCAGTCCAGCCTACTGCTCTTCAGCCAGTACCATCTGTAGATAACAGCATTCCTCTGCTGATAAAATCAATATCAAGAAGACACAATTTACTTAGGGATTTGTTTTCCCTGTAACAAGAATATAATACTGCCTCCTCATAGAGGACATGTTGCTCTGTTAGATTCTATTGGTAAACCTTTGCTATATGTCTCCAAAAATTTAATTACATATATACATATATCCTCTCTTTGAATAAGAAAACCTGATTCTGGACTACTTAGGAACACAGAGAGCCTGTGTTGTCTGATAAACATGACATACAAAGATTTGGGTCTGTTTAGCCAGGGTGGATTATCCCTTTCTTCAGTAGCTAGAGAAATAGTTGTGGGATTTTAAATTCTGTGGGGGTATTTTTTCCAGAATGAAGACAAAATAATCTGTAATTTTACAAAGAATAAAGATTAGCAGAGTTATTCTGGCTGCAAAAATATATCTTAAATAAAGGGAAATTCCAGGATTGGGTGTTCCCGTATTTGTCAGTGACTGGCAGGTCTGGTCCTGACCTGAAGCTGCAAACGGTTTGAAATATCCCTTTAACCAGCACATGGAACAATTGAGGTATACTTGCACACACATTTCCCAGTTCTTGACAGTTTGTTCAGTTTTTAAAACTTGCATTGTATTCCATCTGGATCAGATCAGATGTGTAAAGGGAAAGTACTTACAAATATTGGCAGACAAACATGGCAAACCTGGATGGTTACTGAGGTTCACCCAAGGTTTTAATATGGCAACAGAATCATGAAATGAAGATATATGTTTTCATCCTGAACAGGAAGCCAAATTACTAGTGATACAGCTTATTCTTCTGTTTCTGAGCCAGGAATGCTTGGATTTATTAATATAATACTGTGAGTATAAATCCAAAATTAGGGAGAAAGATACCCTTTTCCCTGAAAAGTGATCTACATAAAGTTCTGACAAAGAGACTAGCAAAGCAGAAGAAACACACAGGTAATGAGCAGATTAATTGTACCTCCATTTAACAAATGAGAAATAATTGTCTTTCCAGATAGATTGTTGTTGAAATG